AGAAGGGATGAAGTTGTCATGAAAAGAGCCTGCATGGGTAGGATGCGTACCTGGAACATTGGTCATCAACTATGATGGGTCACCATGAGTGTCAAATGAACCTGGATTCTACTGAGACAGGCCTCTGGGCAGATTTATGGGGGCCCTTCTAGGAGAATAAACCAAGGAGACAGAACCCTCTCCCAGAGTGGGTGCACTTTCCAGGGGTAGCCTAGACATAAGCCATTATAGGGAAGCAATGCTGCTCTCTGCCTGTCTTTGTTTCTCCCTAGTGAGTGCATCTATCCAGTTACCATTGCTTCCAGCATCTCTTGATGCAATCACAACCCAGCTTCTCCAGCCTTCAAACCAAACTGGAGGTCAGAGACCTCCAGGAACTCCACAGGCCCAAACTGGAGGTTCTGAGGCACCCAGCATGGTGGACTAAGCAGCAACAGCGTTCCCAGACTCTCCAGTGTGCAGACAGCTATTGTGGGACTGCCCAGTTCACATAGCAAAAGCTAACAATTTCCTTTAATACATTCATTCTATCAGTTCTGTTCCCCTTAGAAAACCCTAGTCCACTACCCATGATTTCTGGTCTACACAAACTCTTCTGTTTTACCTCTCTGCATCATTTCCTGTAATGAGGACCTGACTGGAAAAGGAGGGTGCCTTTATTCATGGTCTGTATGTCTAGGCTGATGCCCAGGCAATCTGCTGCTTCTGGTGCTCATTCTGTAGTCTGTCCTCCCACCCCACAGGAACTGCCACGAACATCCCAGCAAGCAGTGAGTATGAAATAAGATTTTGAGACATCAAGCTTCAGTTCTCTTTGTGATACTAAAGCCTGGCAACACCACTTAAGGAGATGCCAAGGTGTGTTAGTTCTTGCAGAGGGCAAACCGGACTGCTTTGGGCAGCAGAAATTTATCTACTCAAAGTTTGAAGTCAAGGTGTTGACAGGCGAGGTGCACCCCATTGATTCTCAGGGAGTATCTTTCCTGGCATCTTCTAGCTTTCTTCCAAGAGCTCTGACAGTTCCTGGCTACCACTCCCACCTTGTCTCTTGTTTATACCCCCATGGCCCATGGTGTTCTCTCTCTCCATCCCCTTTTCTTCTAAAGCTACTAATCTCACTGGATGAGGAGAAGCCATAATTAAGTACAACTTCTTTTTATGAAGTCCCTGTTTTCCAATAAGGTCACATTTGAGGGTATCATTCGGCAGTTTAAAGCATAGTACTAAGAAGTCCTTTAACTTAATTCAGTAAAGGAGAGCCACAGTTCTTCACTGTTGACCTGTCCACATGTACATGGGAATGCCAGGTCTGAAACAGACAAACAGAAGCTACGATGTTCTCTTAAAGGTTCTGCCAAGCCTCATCTGGCCCAGTGGTCCATAGGGGTAAGATGAGAACAACAGCCTGAGTGGCTTAGCCTGGTGTTTCTTTTCTCGAGAGAGCTCGCTCACTCAGTCTCTGCTTCTGACAGGAGCTATGGGGACAAGGAACTCTTGAAGTCATACACTCAGGGACATGACCCTGCACCATGGGTTGCGAAATCAGGTTAGTCCTCCAGAGCTGCTGTGTGTTTACATCCAGATGAACCCTGCTTTGCTCACTCGATGAATCAATCTTAGGCTGTTCATTTCTGTGCCTAAAAGCAGCAGTACCTCAGAGGAATTCATCCATGCAGAAACATTTGCTACACCTCGCATATCAGGGTGCTCACCCCAGATTGAGTCCCTTGTCTCAGTTACCTATTTCCTGACAGAAAAACTGAGACTCAACAGAAAAGTGTCTTGCAGGGCACACATAGGGTGTTTGCATTGCAAACCATGCTCCCTCTTCATTCCACGTAGATACTTGCTTGTGCCTGCCTCCCGGATGCTGACACCTTCATCCCCACAGTGATGGGATGCGCAGATGTGACCTTGGACATTGACTAGGTGAAGGTGATGTCTTCCTGGGTAAGGATAGGACCCTTTTTGCCTCTTCCATTTGAGGAAATAGCAAGAAGGCTAACTGTCAGAAAGTTAGACTAGGGTAGCCATCAACCACCAAGCTGCACTCTGACCTTGTACTTCCCAGGCTTCAGAATAGGAGAAGGGTGCCGTTCCAGCTTCCAGAGTATGATGGTTGTTACAACAGCCTCAGCAGGACAGTGCAATGCTGACTGTACCTTCAATAGTTGTCTAGGTGCAAAGATATTTCTCTTTGGAAAAATGTATGTGCTCAAAGGCTCTTGCCCAAATCTGTTTGGATTGCAATAGAGTTCAGGGAAAGGCAGAAACCTCACTTCCCCTCTGTTCTAGTTCTGAGTATAGAGAGAGCTACAGAGTACCGTCTCACAAGGGTGGGAGAGGTGAGGAAAGAGGCTTGGCAATATTCCCACGTCATGGTATCTATGTCTCTACTAACGGGTTGCTGTGAAACAACTTTAGGAACTGAGATCCCTGAAACCAAATGTACACTTTGTCTTTTCATTTTCTGCATGGCTGTCTTCCACGCATTTATTCCCGTGAGCCTTACTACACTCGTTTGTACAATTTGCTACCTATCTTTCAATGCTGTGTATTCACAGAGTAGCAGCCGCCTGCATCTCTAGGTGGATGTTGCTCAGGGTTGGATTCCCTGCAGTGACATAATACACATCTGAGTATTCATTTGTACAGACTAAAATTAAGAAGACCCGACCAGGGCTGTGGATGGGTTCAGCACGGGCTTCAGTCTACGAAGCTGGCTATCCTCGCCCTTCTTGTCTCTGTTGAGACACGAGCAATGAATGACCAGACTTGCATCCATGGAAACATTTGAAAGCCACAGAAGATGCATAAGGATGCCTTAAGGCATTCATGAATAACTACTGTTCATAATTATTACAGATGAACACTTGGCACCCATGAAGGTTGGCCACAGAGCTTGGCACACACAGGATGTGCTGGAAGAGAAGCCCATGATGGAGAGGACCTCGGACTCTGAAGAGAATTGTTCTGTTGACAGGCAGAACCGGTGTCGTGGAGGACTGTCTGCTTTCAGGCACAGCCATATTTGAATCTCTAGTTGACCCTGCATCTTCTGCTCACCAAGGGACTCTGGTCTTTCCAAGGCCTGGCCCTCTCTGAACCCTGGCTACTTTACGAAGAAAAGAAAAAGAAAAATGGTATGGAGTTGGACTTGATCAGTGGTTCTCAAACACACCTTAGTCTGTTCACCGGGCATAGCAAAGCACTTTAGACTGAATTTATGAATGAGAATAGTTTCTAACTGTCCCTAACATTGGGAAGACCAAATCTGAGGTATCAATAGGCTCAGTGTTTGGGAAATGTGCTCACTACTTCAGGAGCAGATTTTTGCTGTATCCTTACGTGGGGCTCCATTCAAGAGGGTAGAACTTAATCACTTCCCTAAAGACCCCACTTCTCAGTGTGGCCTCTCCAAAGGACACAGACATTCACAGAAACAAACCTGCAGCTTCCATCTACCTGAGTCTACATTAGGACTCTACATGAAAAGTTGGTCCATGAGGACTTTTCTGGTTGCAGCAGGCAGACACTCCCGTTGTGACCCTCTCCCTTCTCCTCAAGAGCTCCTAAAAGAGTCTCACTTTGAGTACCACTCTGCAGTCAAAACAACTCTGTGTTCCATTCACTGATAGCAGTAAGGATTCACATTCCATCCTGGCCCAGCCCTAAGCCCGTGACACACCTTAACTCAGTCAGCCCTCAAGAAACCTTTGGTCCTTATAAAAGTAAAGTGACTCACCAAGTCACAGCTAATATGACAGCAGGGACCCAGAGCATGAGCCTGCTCTCACCAGTTCCTCAATTCTCAGTCCTCCCTATCTCAGGCCCTGCCCCAATGGAGTTAATCATATATATAATAATCACATACATACATAGATATAAATGTCATATCTATATGCAAATCTAAAGGTATTAAAATCTTTCTGCTAGCCAAATCTTCAGACGTGTGTGTGAGAGACAGAGACAGAGAGACAGAGAAAAAGAGAGGAGCTTGCTGAATTTAAGTTCCATAGAGGCCGAAGATAATTTTTATATAGGCACAGATATGTGCCAGAGACCTGAGCATCCCCATCAGTCACATATGCAAAGATCTGATACAACACAATTCAAATTGGTATTCATTAGGCAAAAGGCCCATTCCTGCTTAATCACAGGCAGTGAGAGCGCAGCAAACTTGGATCAGCCAATGTGTAGCCTTGCAAGTGCTTCCTGGCTGTCTTCTAACACTGTGCATCTTGGAGCCCTGGGACTGGGAGAAAAGTGTGCAGCTTACGTCATCCGGCACAAATTACACATTCGTGAGCCACCATTTAGGGACCGCGTCCTTCTAGGGCTGTCAGACGACAGGTCAGCCACCGGCCAGGCACTGAGGTCACAGGGGTGATGTCTTCCAATCGTAGACACCCTGGAGTTAGAAAAGCTGATCTCTGATTCAGCCATGTCCTCCTATACATCATCCATGGATCTTGGGGAGGACACCCAAGTGCTGTGCTCTGCAGCGGAATGCCGCTTGAATATTTCAAATTGTGTTGTACTGGGTGTGGCTTTCCCCAGACCAACCACGTGGCCGAAGGGATTGAGGTGTAGAGTAACAGAGATAACTCTGGGGTGACTGTTACACTCCCTGAGAAGCCCTCAGCTCGGATACCACAGCCAGTGAAAAGGCTTGAGACTACACAGACGTCCGGGCACAGGAGTCACCTCTGACATCTCCAAGCTGTTTCCCCTTTAACGAGACACATGCTTGTCCGTCTGAGGAAACACACGCCTGTAAATGGAGCATGATTTATCCGTCCTAGGTGTGATACGGTGGGTAATTCTGAGCTATTACATCTAGATTGGCCAGTGTGTGCCCCACTTCAGTGAGGTAGTTAGCTCTGATGATCCCTGGTTTGACTGGGAAGAGTGTAAACCTAGGGAAATCATGGATGCCTTGCTTGGAATGTGATGGCCACACACTGGCAGAAAAAAAAATCATTTTCTGAACCCCAGACTTTTAGTTAAATACGCACAATTTTATTGATTGAAGAGATTAGGACAAAAACATTAAACCAAATACAGGACAAAGCACCAGAGGCCATTAGTCCCCACCATGCATGTCACCAATCCTTCCTCTCCCCCCAGTACTTGACAGACAGGGGAAAGAGAAGACAGAAGGTCCTTCTTGCCACAGCACCATCTTCTGACGGTAACAACCCTCTCTCTGTATCTTCCATTATCAAAATAGAACCAAGGGTATATCCATGGCAGCTTTGTCTCCTGATTATGAATGGGGAAGCCACCCTCCTGGGGACAGGGGCTCCTGTGGAGTAGGCGTGAAGCATCCAAGAGTCCGCACACACATGCCATATACTAGAGTGAAGCACAGATTCAAGTAACATTTACACACTAGAGTCCACGTGTTACCTACCCAAAAACAGGACCATTTCACAAAACATATGCAGGCAGTAAAACCCAAATGACTGAGGTACTGGGAACACAAATATTTATGCCAAAAGAGTTCTGTATCATACAGCAATAGAAAAGCCAGAATACAAAAGGAAAACATTTTGCCACTCGAAATCAAATAAGGCTATCTAGAAAGAGCCAAATGAGAGGTTATTCCAGGGACAGAAATACTCAAACAGGGGGACAAATTATAAGTGATAACTACAGCATGTAACATGTCATCCCGTCGACCCGTAATTGAAGTACTGGCTTAATACATCACAATGTGACATTTTCCTTAATAAATACAAGAGTTCTTGAAAATACAAAGGTGCGTATTGGGACAGAGAGTTGTTTGTGTTTATATCATCCCTTCTGTTCAAACCGGAGGGCTTTCCCAAGCCCAGAGGACCATTCTTAGCAAAGAAAAGGAAATAGCTGCCCTGTATTTTATACACATGGGACAACCTGTCTCATTTTACTAGTTTCCCATAAAGCAAAACACAACGTTGCGATCAGCGTCATCAATGAGCTCTGACTCCAGGAGCCACCCCTGCCCCCGCCCCTCTGGAATCCCCTTGCTGAATGCTGTATTCAGAGCAGAAAGCAATGTCTGCAGTGGGAGCCCTCTTCCTTCAAAAGAACAAAACCCAGAAAGGAGTTGGATTTTTTTTTCTTTTCCTTTCTTCTTCCCCCAGACTGTGATACTACATCTGGAAGTTTGACTTCTAATCATTTCCTGCAAAAAAAAAAAAAAAAAAAAAAAAAAAAAAAAAAAAAAAAAAAACGACTGATGAGAAGCAGAACTGTCTGTCACAGAACAGATCTGCCCCTCCCTCTCCCTCTTCAGGGAGCAAAGCAGTAACATGTCACTTCCTAGTCGGAACAGGAAATCACTTATTTAGAAGAAATGAGTCGAAAAGTGAGAATGAGAGGTGACAGATGAAACTTTCATTTTCTTTTTGTTTAGCACCCAGGTTTCAGGTCGGTCTGTGTGCACCGAATTATTATTATTATTATTTTAAGTGAATCCCATTGATTATTACATAGGTGGTTGGCCTGTTTAGAAAAAAAAAATTTCGATCAATTGTCCCTTCCCTGAATCATAACAAGAAGTTAAATGCTAACAGTGCAATGCCAAAGGTATGTGTCTGAGGCAGAAGAGTTTCAGTTCTATCGAGACCTGCAACTATTTCTGAATAAAATGAAAAGAGGGGTAAATGAAGTAGCCCAACTGGCAGAGAGGACTTTCCGGCTACCCCAGGGAAGAGAAGCTTAGGGGTGAGGCTCCTGACCATCTAAACCAACCCCCATCCCACAGGTCTTGTTCCCATGCTAAGTGTTCGGTCAGCTCCTGGAAGGTATTCCTCCTCTGAACCAAGAAATGTGTAAATACGAATGTCCGGCTTGCTTCCCAGCCAGGCCACCTGTGGCCCAGAAATGCTTTCTGGGACCCTCTCTTGCTCCTGGTACCTGCTAAGTGTCCGTGGGCCTTAAGCTCAGTTAAAGAAAGGGTCCAAGTTCTCCTCCATGTTGACATCTGGCACCAGCTGGTCAGATGCCTCTTTAGCACCAAATCCCGAATTCGAGACGCTAAAATCTGTAGAAAACCAAGGATGGTCCAGAATCTCCTGTGAGGTCAGCCGCTCTGAGGGCTCCCGGCGCAGGATGCTTCGGATGAGGCACTTGGCCTTGGGCGACAGAGTTTCTGGAATGTTGAACTGGCCCCTGCGGATCTTACTGAAGAGGGAACTGGGCTCAATGTCATGAAAGGGATAACGCCCCACCAACATGGTGTACAGCATCACCCCCAGGCTCCACACGTCCGCAGCCTTGCCCGAATAACTGCCAGTGGTGTTCAAGATCTCTGGGCTGACATACGCTGGGCAGCCATGCTTGTCAGAGAGGGAGTCGTCATCGCCCCGGAGAATATAAGCATCTTCCAAACTCTCCAGCTTGACACGAGTCCTGTAGAAAAGGAGAGAGAGATGAGCTCCTAAGGATGAGGGTAGACACACTGATTCATCAGGGCTGCTGCTGTTCATCCATCCACCATCCATCCATCCATCCATCATCCATCCATCCATCCATCCATCCATCCATCCATCCATCATCCATCTAACCAGCTAGATCTAACTCACAGGATAGAGTACTGAAGCTGGAGGTTTGAACAATTTTCTTAAAGTCTTTTCACTGGGAAATGAACAAGAATTCTTCAGTTTACCGTTTTGTTCTTTAGTTGTACCCAATGCTTCTCTTTGGGACACAGGCACAAGCCGGGACATTTCAGTATAAGCATTCTCCACCACTCAGTCCCTCTAAAGTTTGGCATCCAAACATCAAGTTCATCTACATTTGTAGATTTTCACCTGATCTGCCTGTCACACTTCCAGAGCCTAGGGTCCTTGACTTGGCACCTACCACTAATTACAGGTGTATAATTCGCATGTAACTGTGTGCCTGGGAAGATGGGTATGACACAGCAGCATGACCCCCAAGAGCATCTTCAAACTAGTCATCCTACCCCGAGTCCACCCAGCTCTTCAAGAACCAAGAACACATACATAGGAACGTGCAAGTCCTAGAGGGGCTGGCAGAGGTGGAGCCACGCAAAGGAACTTCTGAGGTGCTAACACTGGTTTACATCATCAACACGACAAGGCTCCAGGGTGTCACCATTGAGTGTAAAATAAGGACATACAGAGTGAAAGAAGAAAATCTGGGAAATAAGATGACATCTTACATCAATGGTGTTAAAAGAAACGAGGTCAGAGTGGAGGACCGAGTACTGCCAGGCATGGTGGCGCACACCTGGAATCACAACCCTTGGAAAGCTGGGGTAAGAAAGATCAAGGGAACTCAAAGACAATCTCAGATCCACAGCAAGCTGGAGGCCAGCCTGATCTCTGTGAGACCTAAAAACACTCTGCTTGCCAGTGTTTGAAAGGAAAACCCTTCTGCATGGCTGGTTCTCAGCACACTCCTAGAGTCCTGCTGGGAAGGTGGCTAAGGAAAGTGGGAGTTGGACCTAGGACTCAGGTGCACTTATAAGGTCCACGGAATCAGAGCATTAGTCCCACACGTCTCCAAATGGACACGTCTAGGCCTCCACCCTGCTTGCGTGGATGAGCCAGAGAGCTCAATGAGCAACCGGAACTGCTGGGGCAAACTACAATGAAGCCACCTTGGTCACAGCCTGTGGCCCAAGGCCATCTTCCTCCTGTCTTCCCTCTTTCCTTCCTCCCTGAGTCTGCAGGTCTCAGGTTTTCAAGGTGGTCTGAAATCCACTGACAATATCTCCTTAAGGAGAGCTGCTGGGAGCGATCTACAGTGGGGGAGGGTGACAAACATGGGCTGCTTCTAGGGCCTCCTATGAACATGTCAGTGAGTCCAAAATTCAGCGATAGCTTTTCTGGATGGTGCTCTCTTTAGGAGTGTGGACTCCAGGTAGGTTGTATCTCTCACCAGTTTTGTGACTTACGCTGAGTCACTTAACCTTCCAGCTCCTTAGCTTTAAAGAGAGAAGACGGTGTGTGTGTGTGTGTGTGTGCGGACACACACGTGCACATGCATATGTCTGTGTATGTGTGTGCGTCTGGTTGGTTTTGATTTTATCTTTTAATGTTTACCTGGTAACTTTTACATTAAGTAAAATTCAGCATAACCATCCTTTTTTCCCCAGAATTTTTTTTATGTAACAGCTTTGGCTGCCCTGGAATTCACTCTGTAGACCAGGCTGGCCTCAAACTCACAGAGATCCGCCTGCCTTTGCCTCCTGAGTGCTGGGATTGAAGGTGTGCGCCACCACTGCCTGGCAATCATATCCATTTCTGAGTGTTCATTTAGCTCACTCTCATGATGCCCACTAATCAGCATGCAGAGCTGTCTCGGTGTCGATGCCAGGTCTAACATTCCATAATACACAGCAACAGGGATTTTCCTACGCCATTTGCTCAGCTGTCATCTAGAATGACCCCACCACATGCATGTTTCTGAATGCTTCCGTAGCTAATGGCCTACAAGACCGTTACTACAAGGGAATATGCTAGCTGTGCTAATCTGGAATTGAACTGATTAAAAACAAATCTTTCTTTCTCAAGCTTACTTCTCCTAATAGGAGGTGGCAGGTGGCAGTGACCCACTAACCAGCCTTACCAGATGTTCCAAGATGCCCAGAGAGGAGCATATGAACCCAGAGGAAAGGAGGGGATCATGAGCCATAGATTCTAGGGCTCCTCTCAACAGCTCCTTCACCCTACTTTATCCTTAAAGCTCGTGCCTAGTGGGGGACCAAACTGACCCCTCTCCCCCTGTTCCCTTGGCTTGAGGGCAGAGTTGCTGCTTTAGCTCTGTGTTCTGGCTTTGGAAGTAATCTCTGTGTGTGAATGGCTGCCAGTTTAGGAGGAAATGTTTAAGTGTTGGAACCAGAGGGTTTAGGTCGGGCAGGATTGCCATTACGAAGCCCTCGAAGGAGTGTCTCGGGTCATCCACGTGGAGAAAGTGTCCTTGTCATAGTTGCTGATCTCATGGCTGGGTACCTGTCTTCCATGTACAACCTGTGTCTCACATGCTTCTCTCTGCCTCAAAGGCAGTGTGCAAGTCAGTCCCCCTGGGGACCTTCCACAATGTTCCCTTCTTAGTACGTTCTTCCCCTGTGGGTGGGTTTCTACTTAAGTGAGTGAAGTGAAGTGGGCTCACTCTGAACCCCAAGCAAAGCAGCCCTGTGTCTCCCTCCCATCAGCCTTGCCAATGCCACTCCCTTCTTTCTACACGGTTTGGTATTCAGAATCCACAAACCACCCGGTGATCGTTGTTTTGGGATGATCCCTGGCTTCCTTAGCTCCAGGAGCTTGGGGCAGTAGCACAGAGTCACTTCGGAAGCAGAAGACAAGACCTACTACGTGTCGTTGCTGTGGTCCATGTGCCTCAACCCACTGCTGGTGCCAAATGACTTATAGGGATGACTCAGGGAAGCAGGTGTTGACCCTGGGGGTTTCAGCTCTGCTGGAAAAGAACAGTGGCTTCCCGCTCTCCTCTAGCTAGAGTTATGCGGAAATCAGGACAGGCACATAAACCAGGCATATGGTCGGGGAAGGGGAATGGGATTTCAGGGAATGAACCCCTGGCTCCCCTTGTCAGCAGGCAGTCTTTCAACTCTGCGCTTTAAGCTGAGTCAAATCTCCCAATCTGTTGTCTGGTCCCTGCTCATCTCCTGAACATCACAACTGTACATTCTGATGCTCTTACTCCTACCCTCACACTCCAAGAATCCAGACCCCTCATCCTGACCTGTGTGGCCCCATAATGAGGCCTTTAGACTGTGGTGAGGCTTACCACCTTCTCCACTCCTCCAAGCCAAGCCCTTCACTCTCACTCACTCCCATCTCAAAACATTAAGAAGTTCAGGATAGAATTACTAAAACTACTTCCCTGCTGCTGAGGCTAGGCTGTACCTGGCCAATTGACAGGTAGCTTGACCCTCCTTCCTGTTAACAGTACTCAACCTTGTGCTTCATGACCCCTTTGGTGAACCTCCATCTCCCAATATATTTACATTACAATTCATAACAGTAGCAAAATTGCAGTTATGAAGTAGCAACAACAATAATTTTATGGTTGGGGGTCACCACACCATGAGGGACCACATTAAAGGAAGGTTGTGAACCACTGCTTTAGGGGCTAAGACTACATTCAGCAAGTCTGAGGATGTGGTGGGGAGCGGTTGGATTTCCCTGGCTCACCAGGTTCCACAAGTGCTGAAGCCAATGAGCTGAGCTGTCCCAGGAACCAGGACAGCTCAGATAACAAAACACATGCTAAAGTTCATTCTTTAAAAACTACGAAGCACCAATGTCAGATGCCATCGACATTCCTGACGCAAGCCAGGTGTTTATGTATCTGCATCTTTTTACATCTAGGTGTTGATGCATAGGCATTATGGCATAAGCGACTATGTTGGGTATATGATTCTTTTCTGTGAACCAAAAACCCTAGGCCCTGAGGCCAAGTCTGTCAGTACACCTGGCTAGGCTGCTGGGGGCCGGCTCCTCAATCTTTCCACAGAGCAGGTTCAGCCACCACCGCTCAGAACCATGGAGTAAGGAAGGCTCCATCCAGGTGGGCACAGCCAGCTTTTACTTCCTTCCACAGCATCAGCACTCAAGGCAAGACAGGGGAGAGGGCAACAGCAGCCTGGAGACAGGATGGGGAAGAAACCAGTCCCCGAGGCACTCCCTAACCTTGCTCCTCCCCGGAACATCCTCGGCTTGTTTACATCACTCCTAACAAGGGTCGGGGCAAGGGTTCTGGATTCTATCTTTAAACACTGATCTTCCAGGATGTTTTCCCGTGTGGTGGGGCAGAGGGAAATGAGCCAGGAGGCTCGGGCTTCAGCCCCAGTGCCTGAGGTCTTGTTGTGCAACCACGGGAGCTACCCAGTTACTCCAAGCCTGACCTTTTCCTCTCAGAAAAGAAGCTGCTTCTTCTCACAGGATTGTGCCTGGGTAAGGGACATTTGCAGACAGATAGGAGCAGACATGAATGAACAGGCTTGCTCTGAAGTCTCCTCAGCAATCTGGGGGAGGGGGGATGATGAATCTCCCTGGCAAAGGAGGAGTCAGTTTTCATAAAAGCCAACAAGAGCATCTGTGGACCTGGTGATTCAAATGGCCCACCAATCATTCAGGCTTTTAAAAGATGTTCAGGAGCATTTTATTCCGCTCGGGCTCCCAAACTAGGCACAAGGGATCTGGCCATGACAAGTAAGGCAACAACCATTCTCTCTGATTTTCTGAAGATTAAATGAAGTAAGGCAAGATAGGATATTCCAGAGAGCCCAGCGTGGCGGAGCTGCCTATCACATGGTGCCAACTAAATGGATCCTATCGTTAAACGAAGACTCCCACCCTCAGCTGTGGAGCCTAGTGATGCAGGCAGAGGAGCAAGGGTAAATGCAAGCCTGGGCAGGT